ACATGTACATACATACTCGATCTAAAACTTAAACTTGAATGGCATGCCATAAATTTACCTCGGAAGACATTGCTCGGCTTGACGAACAACAATTTCGTAGTTATTAAATATGAAAATGAAATTCTCGAGCCCAGGCAATGGCAATGCATTAAGAGCTCAGGTAACTGGCCCAGATCTATAGACCACATTAAGTCGGCGCCCAAGTTGCTGTCAGATGTGCGCAAGCCTGGCCAAGAAGCGTATTAATATGTTCATACTCATTCGGGCAGCTGGAGATGCTTAATACATTAATATGTGAAAATAAAAAAGTAAATTACCGTAGCTTTAACCAACTCTAAATATAGTCTAGCTGAAGTGAAACTCTAGCCAATTTGCATAAAACTGTGAAGGCTTTTCATTTTCATTTCAAGGTTTTCATTCGCCTCTAGATTTGCTGTTCAATTTGGCGAAAAGTTCGCTTAGCATTTGGGCTTCTGCTCAGTCAGACATATTGTTGACGCACTTTCGCCTTTTAAGCGTAATGAAAACGTGGAGCATATGTGTGTGTGTGTGTATAATAGGGCGTGGCAGACGCCCCTTAACGCACTCTCATTTCAACTGGGGTCAGGTGAGCTGGCGTGCGGCACAGAGCAGCATCACAGTCAATACCATCACGCACATCCACATATTTTGGGGCCGGGTCGAGAGCCGAAAACTGAACCGAAACTGGAGCTGGCTATGGAGCTAGAGCAGGAGTTGAATCTGGAGTTGGGGAGACTCATTTCGCCCGGTTGTGATAAGAAAGTGTCAACACGAACGTGACAAAGCTACAAATGCTTAATTTTTATACGAGCTTTCCTCCAGTAGAGTAGGTGGATGGGTGGATGGGTGGTTGCTCAGTGGTTGGGTGGTTGCCCAACTTAACTTATTTGCGGTTGGTGAAGGGTTCGGCCTTGGCCACATTTGGTCAGCCGGGCAGCCGTGCTCAGTTTTTGGGCAGAAAATCACGTTTTTACCGTAAACATGTTGCAAAGTTCGCGCCCGTTTTATCTTTTGCATACTTCCGGCCGCATCGCAACGACAAACGGCCGGAGAACGAGCAGGCCAACAACGTCAAAGACGTGTCGCGTGGGTAGCCAGCGGCTTGCTTAAATATTTAAATTCTGCTCTCCAGCGAATGAACAAACACACATTAGGCCAGCTCAAATACAAACTATGAGACTTTTGTGTCTCGGCTTAAATAAAAACAAAGATTGAAATGAAAAGAATCCGGGGATAAAATATTTGCATACCCAAGTTACCCCACTTTCATTCGCATTATAGTTTTGCTGATTCAGATTAGATTGTCTCTGATTAGACATACATCATTCGCAGCAGAAGCATGGAAAATATGCTGAATGCAATCAATGGAAATTTCTGAAATTAATTAACAAATTAAACACATATTTAAAGGATTTCGGGGTATTGGGCCCGATTGAATTATTTATTTAGTTTTGAAAATTGTACTATAATAGAGTACTTTGCCATCGACTATTCAAACTGTGGTCGAAAGCATTTCAAATATGCAAATCTAGAATAATTGAAAAAAAAAAGATATACAAAAATAACTGTAATAAATTGAATTTCATGTTCTATTGCACACGGAAATCAACAATATTTCTATTTTATTATTTTACGCAGCCGTCGCCAAATCTAAAAAGTCTAAAGAGGCAGGCTGAGATATACCCATTAAACTTATAAACACATATATAAATATTTCTTTATTTAAAAGTAAGAAGAGATTGAATCAACAGAAATATAAATCTGAAAATTATGTGAACAAAATTTGTTGAGCCTTAATTCACTTCACTTGCATATGTACAGGGTATTTAAATAGTTTGCATGCCAAATAATTGCAAGACTTGTGGCAAAACATTTCATTTAATTTTCTAGCATTTTTCCCCTTGGCTAACTTAATTTCTATGCAAGCTTTTAGCTCGCAGGCGACACGGGGAGTTGGCTTTATGTTTTCAGCTAAAATATTTAATGCACATACACAATCGCAGCGAGCACACAGAGCCATAGAAGACAACAAAGACACACACACACACACACATATATACAGAAATGTATATATGTATATAGCAAAGAGAGGCGCATACATTTGGGCATAATGATGTGCAGCAACATTTTTGATGGTGCCCACTGACAACAATAAATTACTTTTGGCTTTAAACGAAAGCCATTAGCATAAAACTTGGCATCATCAGTTGGAAGAGGAGCAGCCTACATTTAACGCGCATACTGAGCGTATGCGCAATATTTATCTGGCTCTAATTTTTAGCCGACAATTTGCCAGCACTTACATGATTAAACTGCGTCGGGCTTGCTCTGCGCGAGCACAGAACTTTTCAAATATGTGAACCTTTTAATTAACTCGCTGGGCCCGAGCTGAGCGCGCCTCCTGCTGCTGTTAGTGGCTCTGTTTTCGGTTTTGTTTTTCGTCTCGTTTTTTTTCTTCTCTGTATTTTTATTTTTTTTTTTCTATATACGCACACGTCCGCCCTTAGCCAAAGAGCTAAACGAAATATTCTTTTATTAAGCGTTTCATAATTTCATGCAATAAACTTGCTAATTGCGCCGCGTTAGCTTCCTTTTCTTGGCACTCAACTGGCTGCGCCGCGCCGCGCCGCCCCGCCCATTTCGGCAAAGTGAATAACCGGCCAAGTCCTGAGCCCGTAAAAGGCTGCCAAAAAGCGGCAAAAAATTGCCGAGCGCCAAGGATTGTCGACAATTTGATACACTTTCGCAAAACTA